GCAATCCATACATACAAAGAAACCAAAACAAATAAGTTCAGAAATTATGTTTTATGCGTAATAAAATGGAATGACACGGGAAAAGTATTGAACGCATGAAGAAAGGGAAGTTCAAAAAGGCATGGAAAGCCAAGATACCAGTAATTAGAAATAAATTCTACCCCTTGTCAGTGCAAATTAATATCAGCTGGTTTAGTCTCAACTGATGGCCTTTAAAAAGGTGTCACACATAAAAACATTTTATGATGGGTAAAAGAAAAGATCTCTTTCAAGACCTTCGCAACCTTATTGTTGCAAAACATACTGATGGCATTGGTTACGGAAGGATTTTTAAACTTTTGAATGTTCCAGTGAGCACTGTTGGGGCCATAATCCGGAAGTGGAATGAACATAATTTCACCACAAACTGCCCACAACCACATATGTGCTCCTCGCAAGATTTCTGACAGCGGAGTGAGAAGAATTATCAGAAGAGTTGTCTATGAGCCAAGGACCACTTGTGGAGACCTTCAGAAAGACTTTGAATTGGCAGGTACAAATGTTTCATTGAAAACTATAAGTAATGCACTCAACCGCCATAGCCTGTATGCACGTTCACCATGCAAGACTCAATTGCTGAAGAAAAAGCATTTTGAAGTTTATTTAAAATTTGCTGCACAACATTTAGACAAGCCTGTGAAATACTGAGGGAATATAGTCTGGTCAGATTAAGCCAAAATTTAACTCTTTAGATGGCATAATACACATCATGTTTGGAGGTCAAATGGCACCGCACATCATCCCAAAAACACCATCCCAACAGTGAAGTTTGGAGGTGGGAACATCATGGTGTGGGGCTATTTTTCAGCATACAGTACTGGCAAACTTCATGCCATTAAAGGAAAAATGTAACAAGACATTCAAGATGAAAAACTGCTGCCATCTACCAGGATGTTGAAGATGAAACGAGGGTGGACATTTCATCAAGACAATGATCCCAAACACAAAGCCAAGGAAACTCAATTAGTCTTGACGAAAATAAAGCTGCTAGAATGTCCCAGTCAGTCACCTGATTCAAATCCAATGGAAAGAACTAAAGATCAGAGTTCATAGAAGAGGCCCACGGAACCTTCAAGATTTGAAGACTTTGTGGAAGCATGGGTCAAAATCACACCTGAGCAATGCATGCAAGTACTTTCTCCATACAGAAGGCATCTTGAAGCTGTCATTACCAACAAAGAATTTTGTACGAAGTGTTAAATTTCAGTTGGCAAGTTCAATACTTTTTCCCGTGTCATTCCATTTTATTACACATGACTTAATTTCTGAACTTATTTGTTTGTTTTGGTTTCTTGGTATGTATGGATTGCATGGGTTGTTACCAACATGTGGTGAAAATTTAATGTCAATAGCACCTTTAGAAATCTATTTATGAAGAAAAATGGTGACGTGCTCAATACTTATTTTACCTGCTGTATATCTTTTTCTGCGTGATCTTGTCTGTTCATTGTAGATTTCTGCTGTATATTGTATTTTCTTCAACTAAGGTGTTATATGTTAGAAAGGAGGTGACCATTCATAACTAAAAGTTTAACTTTGGACAGAGATTGGTTGGGCAGCCTTTACTTAACATGTATATTTGTCTCTATACTTATTAGCCCTGGTTCACATTAATGTGATTTCTGATGCGTTCCAAAACTCATGGAATCGCATGACAACTGAAATAACGTTCGTTTCTATGAAGACCAAAAGGATCCTGGGCAAGTTTAGTGCAGCGTGGTACAATTTGTAGCTACATAAATGTGAATGTTCTAAGATAACACCATTCCAATATGTTTTCTGCAAGTCTTCGCTTTGTTCCTTATCTCCTATCCCTGGGCCACATCAGGAGAGAGAGAGAGACTGAGAACACTGCCAAATCTCAGCTGCATTGCATCAGAATCACACACGTGAATCGCTGAACAATTGCACTGCATCTATGTGAACCTAGCCCAGATGTGAAAACTCTTCCTATCTGGGTCCAAGTTATTTTCCAAATAGTCATCTAAAAACATTTAACAGACAGGGAATACAAGAAGCTGACAGTAGCTAGGGAGGGTCATAAAGAAATGGATCCTCTCCATTTTGTTCTGTAAGGTGTGATAGATTATACCGTAGTCAAAAGCTTTCATTAAAGTGATACTAAAGCTTGGTGTGTTTTTGTCATTTTATAAATAAAATTGAAGAAAAAAAAACCCATCATACTTACTTGCTCTGTGCAGTAGTTTTGCACACAGCTGCTCAGATCCTCTTCTTTTCAGGTCCCCCGCTGGCGTTCCTGGCTCTTGGGGTTCCCTCTTGGGGGTTTTTATGGGGTATGAAGTACTGGTACTAGACTCTGTCATAGATGAGAACACTCAAAACTTCCATGTTGATGGAAATAGGAGTTATGACCAGGATCTGAAAGCATATCCATATTGCAGCATTGGAAAATATACTTTTTAATCGTACCATGGTACAGTCATGGCTGTAAAAATCCTAAGAATTAGGAAAATAAAGCCTATGTATGTATGAATTCTGTATGAAACACTTTTTTTTTTTTTTTTTTTTTTTGTGTGCCCTCTTCATGGCCAGATCTCCAGCTGTTCTGACAATCAGAGCTTCAGTTCTTCTGGTAGCTTGCCTGCTCTTTCACCCTGCTTGAACGGCCTGATATTAAGCTGTAAGGGTCCTTTCGCACGGGTGTTCTGTTTTTTTTCATCAGTTCAGTCACGTTTTTTCCATGAAAAAACGGATCAGTTTTTTTATCAGTTCTCACCAGTTTACATCCATTTTTTTACACCCTTTACCAATGCAAAAACGGACCATGTGTCCATTTTTTACATCCAATTCTTCTCCATTCCAGTTTTTTTATGGAAGAAAAATAGGGTTTTCTTCCATTCAAAAAAAATGTAAACAGATGTGCTCCTCCACCTTCCGTTTTGAGGATGTCACACAGATGCTCAATAGGGTTTAGGTCTGGAGACATGCTTGGCCAGTCCATCACCTTTACCCTCAGCTTCTTTAGCAAAGCAGTGGTCATCTTGGAGGTGTGTTTGGGGTCATTATCATGTTGGAATACCACCTTGCGTCCCTGTCTCCAAAGGGAAAGGAGCATGCTCTGCTTCAGTATGTCACAGTACATGTTGGCATTCATGCTTCCCTCAATGAACTGTAGCTCCCCAGTGCCGGCAGCACTCATGCAGCCCCAGACCATGACACTCCCACCACCATGCTTGACTGTAGGCAAAACACACTTGTCTTTGTACTCCTCACCTGGTTGCCGCCACACACACGTTTGACACCATCTGCACCAAATAAGTTTATCTTGGTCTCATCAGACCACAGGCATGGTTCCAGTAATCCATGTCCTTAGTCTGCTTGTCTTCAGCAAACTGTTTGCGGGCTTTCTTGTGCATCATCTTTAGCAGAGGCTTCCTTCTGGGACGACAGCCATGCAGACCAATTTGATGTGGCATATGGTCTGAGCACTGACAGGCTGATCCCACCCCTTCAACCTCTGCAGCAATGCTGGCAGCACTCATACATCTATTTTCCAAAGACAACCTCTGGATATGACGCTGAGCACACGTGCACTCAACCACTTTGGTCAACCATGACGAGGCCTGTTCTGAGTGGAACCTGTTCTGTTAAACCGCTGTATGGTCTTGGCCACCGTGCTGCAGTTCAGTTTCAGGATCTTGGCAATATTCTTCTTATAGCCTAGGCCATCTTTATGTAGAGCAACAATTCTTTTTTTTTTTTTCAGATCCTCAGAGAGCTCTTTGCCATGAGGTGCCATGTTGAACTTCCAGTGACCAGTATGAGAAAGTGAAAGCGATAACACCAAATTTAACACACCTGCTCACCATTCACATCTGAGACCTTGTAACACTAATGAGTCACATGACACCAGGGAGGGAAAATGGCTAGTTGGGCCCATTTTAGACATTTTCACTTAGGGGTGTACTCACTTTTGTTGCCAGTGGTTTAGACATTAATGGCTGTGTGTTGAGTTATTTTGATGGAGCAGCAAATTTACACAAGCTGTCCACTCACTACTTTACATTGTAGCAAATTGTCATTTCTTTAGTGTTGTCACATGAATAGATAGAATAAAATATTTACAAAAATGTGAGGGGTGTACTCACTTCTGTGCGATACTGTACATGCAATTGTTTTTTACCAAAAGTATATTAATAAAGCGGAATTACACTATTGGGGCCTCCCATATCTTTTATATTCATGCTATGAGACCAATGAGCATGGATATGGTTACTGAAGTAGGAAATGGAATAAATGCCTAGGAGGACCACAAAACCAACCTGCATTACTATACAGTGCATATGACTCTAACATTTAAGAGTACACATTTTCTCGTGAGTGAGTGGGCACACAGGAGGGGAACATTGCATTTGCACAGCCAATAAAGGGAGCAGCATAGAGTACTTTTGAGACTGCACAGTTGATTAGCAAAGTTTGAATGCGTGAAGAAGCACAAGACCTATGGACTTATTGTTTTAATTTGATTTACAGTATTGGCATGTTTTGATGATTTATTCTCAGAGCACTATGCCTATTATCTGAATTAATTTAAATTTAGCACAGACCAGGCAGTGCCTTTAGTAACATACGTAATTTAAAGGTATATCATCATCAGCCTCCCTAGCGGTATGATTATGTCAGTATTTCTGTGCTCAAAGCGGTACATTTTTTTTGCATGGAAATATGTTGTTTTTTTATTGTAGGCCTGTAATTCTTAGGAATAACTCACTGAAATCTGTCCGAACAAGAGTCTAGTAAACATTCCGGGTTTGTTAAAATTTGAAACCCGAAATCATAAATTATAATTTAATCATAAAAAATAATATAATAATTTTAATTCAATAATGTAATCAAACCAAAAACACTGAAATCTGAAATATAGAGCCAAGTTCGCACATCACTGATCTTAGTCGCAAAATTGTTTTCAGTGTCTGACGAATTTCCCCACGAATCATCACTCAATTCTGCAAGTGGTTCTAATTTACTATCGCTGTTCTCTAGCTGGTCTAAAACTGCTTTTGACCTAAAGGGACACTTTTTGGGCGCCATGGACATTTCTCAGTTTCCAGGCAGAAAGAACAGTAAAAATGCAGGCAGGGCACAGGACAAAGCACTAGGGACAAAATGTATGTGAAATGGTTTGATACAGTAATGTTTTACTATGTGATTATAGTGTATTTAGTGAATGTCACTTTTTAAAATGTTTAAATTTCCCGCCGGTTACGTTCCCGTATGTCCCGACGTCACAGGGAACGGAACCCAGAAGACAGATGCCGGCATTGGCCGGAGGAGATAGCCAGGGTTGCTGAAGGGGGGACATCGTGGGAGCGAAGGACAAGATAAGTGCAGAAGGGATCCCGGAGCAACACTGCAGGGTATTCCCGAGTGTAGCTCGGGGTTACCGCTTGTGGTGCTGAAACTTTACCCCGAGCTACACTCGGGAATACCGCCAGGGAGGTTAATAGAGCTGCAGCCAGTCACTATTTGTGCAAAGGTGTATGTACTAAAATCCTTCCTACATGGGTGAACACTACACATTCCATATATAAAATCTACTGTTAGGAAATAATGTTTTTCTGCAGTATAACATGGAAGTATTATTTGTTTGTCTTTACTGTGTTCTATACAATAGTTATGCAGTGGGCGACATTCATCAAAATCACTGAAGTATTGTTACCCATGACGAGCAATACTGTAATCAAATTCTCATTATGCCTTTCTTAGTAATATGTTGGGTTGCTATGAGCAGCACATGCATTTCCTCACCCATACAGAGGATGGTGGGTTCACATATGCTGTGAAAATAAAACCACCATTACTTGAATAATTGATTGGCCAAAAGGAATTAATATTGGGAATAATTCAGTTAAATTTCCCCCTGTTAAATGTGTTTTTCTTTTTGAAGTGGCTGTTTATAGATACACTATATTGCCTAAAGTATTGGGAACGCCTACCTTTACAAGCACATGAACTTTCATGGCATACCAGTCTTAGTTTGTAGAGTTCGATATTGAATTGGCTCACCCTTTGCAGCTATAACAGCTTTAACTTTTTTGGGAAGGCTGTCCACAAGGTTTAGGAGTGTGTCTATGGGAATTTTTGACCATTCTTCCAGAAGTGCATTTTCATGCAGTCAGGCACTAATGTCGGATGAGAAGGCCTGGCTTTGCAGTCTGTGCTCTAATTCCTCCCAAAGGTATCCTATGGGGTTGAGGTCAGGACTTTGTGCAGGCCAGTCAAGTTCCTCCACCCCGAACTCATGTATCCATGTCTTTATAGATCTTGCTTTGTGCACTGTTAGACAGTCATGTTGGAACAGGAAGGGGCCATCCCCAAACTGTTCCCACAAAGTTGGGAGCATGAAATTGTCCAAAATGTATTTGGTATGCTGACGCCTTAAGAGTTCCTCTCACTGCAACTAAGGGGCCAAGGCCAACCCCTGAAAGACCACTCCACACCATAAACCCCCTCCACCAAACTTTTACTCTTGGGCCAATGCAGTCAGACAAGTACCTTTCTCCTGGCAACCGCTAAACCCAGACATGTCCATCGGATTGCCAGACAGAGAAGCGTGATTCATCACTCCAGAGAACACGTCTCCACTGCTCTAGAGTCCAGTGGCGGTGATCTTTACACCACTGCATCTGATGCTTTGCATTGCACTTGGTGATGTAAGGCTTGGATGCAGCTGCTCGGCCACGGAAACTTATTCCATGAAGCTCTCTACGAACTGTTGTGCTATTCTGATGGCTACTTGAAGTTCGGAGGTTTTTAGATATTGACTCTGCAGACAGTTATTATTATTTATTATTATACACGATTTATATAGCAAAGTTTGCTTTAGCTCGGGGGAAAGTGACCTCTATGGCAATTGCATTTAAAAACCGGAACTGACCTGTAGTGACAGCCAGTGAGGGAGTCTCTCTGTATACATTGCTACTTCACTGTATACTCTGCTCTTCTCCTGCCCCCTCCTTGCACACACTGCCACCCTACAAAGATGACCTGTCACTTATATGCTATCACATAGAGGACCTATGTGATAGCAATAAAATCATAAGTTAAATGTTATATGCTATCACATAGAGTCCCTTATGTGATAGCAATAAAATCATAAGTTAAAAATGCAAAAAAATTGTAGACTTCCCATCCCATATACGCAGACTTGTTCGGTTTTTGGTCACGTGCATTCTGAATTTTTGGTATCGGTTTGGCACCAGATTTTTAATTTCGGTGCACCACTAAGTGTATGTGTTGGTTTTTTTTTTTTTTTTTTTTTTTTTGTTGCTTGTAAAATTGTAAGACATTAGGATTGATGTATTCCACATATCGCATTACATGCAAACTGGGCAGCATGAGTTAAATGCCTACAAAGAGACGTCTCCAGTCCACAAGCCTTTTAATTGATAGAAGCCTAAAATCGCTGGTTGCCCAGTATCTGCAAATGACAACAGTTAGTAAAGCTGTATTTGGCTCCATCCTCCACCAGCAGCTAGGGCTTACTTTTTGTTGGTGAGGCTGCCATCATTGCATTTGGGAACAGTGATAAGGGGTTAGAGACAAGCTAAAGTCAGTGTTTGCAAATACTGCTCACCCTGGGTTTTGGCCTTGTGGAGCACTGTAACAACTACAGCTTGCTGACAGTTTAAAAAAGGGGTGATCTGCATTTTTAAAAAGGGGTGATCTGCATGTTTTCTTTAACAATAATGTTAATTTTGTTTTTTATAAATGAGAAAGTTTGACTTGCAAAAATATTTATTATTTATTTATTTTCTATAGGAGATGAGTATTTTTTTTTCTTTCTAGAAGAGCTGTATAGCTAAAGAGAATGGCTACCTCTTCTTTGTGTAGGGAAATTGCTTTGGTTCCCTGTTGATCTGAGCAGCTTAAAGCCATTTAATCCAATTTAAGGTCAGTCAACCTTGCTGAGATCCATAGTATAAATGGGTCAAAGCTGCATTTGTGTGTGTCATTCATTGCACACGGGTTTTTGCATGCTGGGTGCATGGCAGTAAAATGTTTGTTATCCTATTGATGCACCTTTTTAAATGATAAATTTGCTTCTCAGGGTCTGCAGTGAAATGGATCGAAGTGAAATGAGCACTATTTAGCTTTTCGTTTGCGTTTTACAAATTTTGTTCTTTATCTAGCCCTGGGAAATGAGACATGGACTTGTGGTCTTTTGTTTTTAAATACAGTACCCTGTCTTTGCATACTACAGCAGAAGCACTAAACTGTATTCTAGATTAAAATACTGCACAAGCAGTGCACTGCTACAGCCATAATCTCTGAATCCTTGAAAGCTCCTACTATTTGCTAATCTACATATCTCTAATACAGTAACCATACAATAAAAGAACAAACTTCTACAGTGCTCAGCATAAATTAGTACACCCCTTTTTAAAAAGTAAGATTTTAATCAATATCTCAATGAACACAAGAAAAATTTCCAAAATTTTGACAAAACAGTTTTATAGAGCATTTGTTTAGCTCTTTACATGAAAGTAAGGTTAATATAACTTGGATTACAAAATCTTCAGTTTTACTCAAATTAGTTGATGCAAAAATGAATACACCCCACAACAAAAACTATTCCATCTAGTATGACCATCTACGACCTCCTTGAATTGTAAGCATAGCACCAAGTCTTCTAGGCATGGAATGAACAAGTGTTTTTTTTTTTTTTTTTTTTTTCCCATTCTTCAAGAACAACCTCTTTTAGAGATTGGATGCTGGCTGAAGACTGATGCTCAATTTGTCTCTTCAGAATTCCCCATAAGTGTTCAATTGGGTTCAGATTAGGAGACATATTTTGACCAATGAATCAATTTCACTCTGTCCTTCTTCAGAAATGCAACAGTGGCCTTCGATGTGTGTTTTGGATTATTGTCATGTTGGAAAAGTGCATGATGACCAAGGGCACGGAGTGATGGTAGCATCTTCTCTTTCAATATAGAGCAGTACATCTGTGAATTGATGATACCATCAGTGAAATGCAGCTCCCCATGCATGGCCCCTGGCAAATTCTAGGGGGGCTTTTTTGTGCATGGGCTTTAGAAGAGGCTTCCTTCGTGCCATTCCTCTGCAGTGTATGCTGTATAGTACCACGGGAAACAATCACCCCAGTTTGGCTTTCTACTGCTTTAGCGAACTGCAATGAACTTGCATGGCAGTTTTCTTCAACTCCTTCATCAGAAGTAGCTCCTATTGAGGTATTAACATCCGTGGACAGCCCTGTGAGATGGTTGCAGTTCCATCTTTGTTAGATGTTTGTATCACTTTTGGTTCAGTATTCCGACTGATAAGTAAAGCTTTGCTGATCTTCTTGTAGCCTTCACCTTTCTTCTGTAAAGAAATTACTTTATTTCTTGTGCTTTGTGACATTTCTCTTTTATTGTGTGCCATTGCTGACAGCATGAAATGGGAAGGGGTTTTCTTTAAAGTGTTACTAAACCTACAACAGTAAAATCAGTCTGTATATGCAGTAGAGCATGCTTGTTATACTCACTGTGGAACCTAAGGGGTTCATTATCTGCATTGTGTAAAAATGCTGTTTGATCCTGACTTCTCTGATCCTCCCCTTCTAGTGTCCCCCTCTTATCTCCTGATAAGATATATTGTGTGGAGTCACTCTGCACATTCTCAGTTTGGTGTGTATTCCTAGAGAGGAGTTTTTTTGGGGGGGATAGTTCATGTTATCAGCACAAGGCCAAACAGTACTGTCCAGACAGAGGTCAGGGGTCCTGCATCCTTCTTTAGCAAAATGAAAAGTCCTCCTATAAGCTTTAACTAGTGTTCCGCTGGAACACTAGTTAAAGCTTATAGGAGGACTTTTCATTTTGCTAAAGAAGGATGCAGGACCCCTGACCTCTGTCTGGACAGTACTGTTTGGCCTTGTGCTGATAACATGAACTATCCCCCCCAAAAAAACTCCTCTCTAGGAATACACACCAAACTGAGAATGTGCAGAGTGACTGATAGACGTCACAAGACTGCTCTAACTGGTGATGGCAAAAGGTATTTTAGCAGTTTTTATATTTACTAAAATAATTGCATTTCCATGTTCTGTGTACTGTGGGAGACCAGATAGAGTAAATGCAGTGTCCTGGGTTTAGTAACACTTTAAGTACCTCCCTTGTATAATCAACTGTCTGCTGGACACCTCTTTAATGGTTTAACGAATAATTAGACTCGCTTGTAGTTGAATTCTTGTTAATTAGGATTTTGTTGTCTTAAGGTTTAGCTCTGCTTCTAAGGCTGGCCATACATTATACATTTTTCTTGAGAATTTTGTTTTAGATTTACCAAAAACCATATAAT